GGAGTGGGGCCAGACACAGGGGGACATGGGGCTGCTGGTCCCTGACAAAAGCTAGCAGGGGGTGGGGAACAGGTCTTTATAACAGCTGTAATATGCCATCATATTTGGTATACTTCCCTAGTCCTCAGAACATTCTTTTGGCTAGTTCCTCTTTCTCACAAGCAGTCCGTTTGAGTGCCTTTTCTGACCATAGTTGTGCAGTATACTAGAGAGAGGTAGTCTCAGTAAGCATGCCATTTATTTTTTTTATTGGTCATGACTAATACCTTAATTTCAGTGCAGAGATTAACAGATAAACGTTGTAGATACAGGTGTACTGGTGTCATGCGTTCCTAGTGAGATTCCCTGCTCAATAAATGGGCCTGTCCATTCTGCACTAGTTTCAGTCTCTGACTGTTAAGTGTAAGATGCCAAGGGTATCACAACATTCTAAATGTTAAAACCATGTATATTAATAACGATAAGGGCCACAAATAAAAGAAAAGGTTGTAGTGTCCTAGCAGATGGTAAAAATCCACTGGATAGTTCTTGTAATATGGCAGTGCAGGGGCATCTGGGATACAAAATCACCCCTACACTTGTACATTTTGGGAGTTGAATAATAGATGCACCTCTTATGATTGCTACAACAGAACTTAATTATGTATGTAAGCATCTTTTAATGTAAATACAGCTTTCTTACGTACAGGAGCTATATGGAATGACAGTAGTATTTCTGTTCCAGAGCCCTGTCCCTATTAAGGCTTGTAGATCTGCTCTATTTAATAGTGGAACTTGCTGTCTGGATTTTTTAGTTTTGACAACATACAAGCACATGCTTAAAAGCAAATGCTTACATGTTTTGTTAGTTTGGGCTATTAGCTTGCAAGATCTTTTGAACAGAGGATGTTTTGCTCTGTAAAATGCTGCTCATGGTGCTTAAGTGATTTATTATAAATGCTAAAATGAACAAGTAAATAGTAGAGGGGAATTCTTGGTTGTGGGAAATGATGTATTGTGTACAACCAGATCAGAAGCTGTGATAAATATCCTCAAATCGCTATTTGGAGTTATTTCACAAGGTATGCTAGAAGAGGGAACTTGAACTACTTGGTTCTCTATATTTAACCATCTGGGCAACAATTCTGTATAGATAATTATTTTATATTTGTTATTTTTACTGTTTGTTACAATTTGTGCTGAGCTGGTATAGGGTTTTGGTACGAAAAATGAGAAGAATTGATAATAAATCATTTTGAAATAACCATTAATATTTATATAACAGATTCAAAATTTCTGGACAGCTGCCTTTACTCTCTGTCCAAATATCAGACAAGAAACTGACTGGTATCTTGGAGTTAATTGACAGCATTCCTAAAACAGAAAGTGCTCCTGCCACAGCTTCTCCTCCAAAAATGTCCCAGGTAAGCTAAGATTTGGTTTGGTAGAAAAATACGCATTTTAATAAAATATAATACTGGAATTTTATAAGGAGTTTAAAGTACTTAGTGTCTTTTGCTGGGAGTAGAGCACTTCTGAAAATTTCAGCCATAGCATCCCTCCTAGGTAGAGCTTGGGATGCATGCCCCAAGCTCTGCCTAGGAGAGAGGGGTGCCAGAAGAGCAAGGAGGGGTGCCTCACTCTCTCCTGTCCCATGCTCTGCCTGCATGGAGGGCTGGAGGAAGCAGCTGGTACAGACAGTGTACACCAAGGAGTGCAAGGCATTCTGGGAATTAGTTTCGTAGGTTGGCAGTGTAGTTTTCTGCTGCCAGGGGAGAAATGACTCCCCATATTTTGCCACCAAAATTAGCACTTTTTTTCTATTTTTTGCCCTCTTGATATGGGCTTTGGCAGCAAGAAAGCATAAAAGGATTGAAAGTATCCCGTCCCCCAGCCACAGCAAACTCCTTCTCTAAAGAACTATAATTCTTAGAACACCTTGCACTCCATGACACATTGTCTGCACCTTCTGCTTTTGCACTGAAACCCAAGGCACACAGGAAGGATGAGAGAAAAGACTGCCTACGGCTCATTCTACAGGTGTTATGCCTGTAATTACAGCCAAATTTAGCTGTGTGGAAATAGTCTATATCAGTACTGTCCATCTGTCAGCCTGTGGGCTATATGTAACCTGCAAGGGGTTAACATGTGGTCCCTGAGATCCTGCCCTACTGCTGCACTACTGGTGTTGTGGTGACCAGGTCTCCAGGGTTGCCCTCCCTCCTCTGGCTTCTGTTTCCAGGTCAGTGGGAAGGCACTGTGTGGGTAGCAGGAGGGAGAATCAGGCTGCCAGCTGAGCGCGAGAAGGGCCAAGTTGCCCATGCTGTGTGCGCAGTCAGTTAAGCTATATTACTCAGAATGAGTTCACGGCCAGGAGACCTGGACTGTTTATACTACCCATGCTGCATGTGCAGCTGAGAGACCCAGGCTGTGCACGTTGCTGGGAGCCGTGGGCTGCTCGCCCTAACACGCAGTGAGTAGGAGGCAAAAGTTGTGCTGCTTGTGCTGTCTATGTGGCAGGAGAGGGGTGGGGGGCAGAGGGGAGCCAGGGGACCCTGAGGTCTGCAGCCAGCATAGTGTGGCCCCAGTCTGCATGACACATGGCCCCCAGCTTTCCAGAAATTGGGGAGCCCTGATTCATTTTGCTTTATGCACATTAATATTCTGTTCATTTAGTATAGCTGTCTAATGATTCTTAGCTTCATGAACCCCAAATTATATTTATATATGATTTTAAATGATGCTTATTCATTTTAATAGTGTACTGCTTTATTACTACTAGTGTTTTTACTACTTCAGCAACCACTTCATACTTCATGTTCATCTTTGGTAACAGATACTTTTACTTCAGCTAGAAATAATTGTTGCCAAATGAAGTGGATCATCTGTGCCACGTTGTCATGGCACAGCTGATCGGCTTCATTGGGTGAAACAAATGTCTCCTGTTGTCCTGCCCATTGACAGTATGATAGGTGGCATTTCCTTCTGGGGCCCAGTGCTGCACATTTTGGAGAATTGCTGGGCAGAATCCCCCCCACCGCTCCCACACCCTCCCCGCCTAACCTTAGGTGTTCCTGCCAGGCTTTTCCTGCTTACAGACACATCCCCAGGATCTCTGAGGATGCATATGGGTAAGCAGGGAAAATCAGGCTTTCCCGGCTTAGTGAGAGGTGCCCCTGGGGTCTCAAGGGCATATTTAGATAAGTGAGGAAACCCTGACTTTCCCCACTTATCCAGATGTATCCGTGGAGACCCTGAGGGCCACCTTTGGGTAAATCAGGAAGAGCCTGACTTTCCCTGCGTATCTAGACATGTCCCTGGAGATCTTGTGGGTATATCTGGATAAGTGGAGAAAGACAGCAGGTGCTCTCAAGGTTTGAGGAGCCCAGTTCTACCTGGGAATTCCTAGGGTTGCAGAACGGGACCCCTCAAGCATCTGGAGCCCCTGCCTGAGGCAGCTGGAGAGTGTGGGCAGCTCTGTCCTGCCTGTATTCTTCCACCATAAACAAATAAATGTATGTCATAATGAAGTAGCACAGTTTGAGTGCCTGTGGACACAGCCATAGATTTGGGCATTTGTGACATGACAATGATTATGGATGCCTATTGGCTTTCACTTTGTACCAATGTAAAAAAATTTATGGAGGTACAAATGTAACAAAAGGTGATGTCTTTCTACCTTTAGGAACCAGAGTTCATTTATTTCACCTTCAGGTTTGCAAGAAGTATGAGTTTAGGTTATAACTTCTTTGCTTAAAGAGATACAGTTTTTCTGTTGGAGTTTGTTTTTAAATTAAAGGGTTTTTTCATATGTTTGGGAACAGAATTTTTTTTCCTTCTCAATCTTTTATTCAGGCTCATTTTTCATACTTTGTGTTTTGTCTCTGGGGCATTTCAGGGCCAGCAGAATTAATTTAATATATCTTTAAATGAAAATTGTTTGCCTACTGTTTTCTGTTTCAGATTCAGGTGTCACCAGTGCTTTCAACACAGGTGTCACAAAATGTCCTTCCTGTTTTGGATCTTCACTCATTACCTGAATCAGGTAGAGTTAAATTGTTTTAGTGAGAAGCAAGAATTTATTGGGCCAGCTGCATGTTTTGGTAAAGTTAGATGAGCTTTCAAATGCAATGCATTCTTCATTATTGTTTTAGTGTACATATTCATAAATAGATGCTATAAGATATTGTTAACATTAAAACTTGTATCTTAAAGTGGCATTGTGAAGCTAAACAAGTATTTTGGTGCTTAGTTTTGATGTACTTAGGTTGAATATAAAGACCATATGATCTGGCTTCCAAAAATATACTCTGTATTTGTTCTTATACCTCACTCATCATTATACTATTGGAGTGTTTTCCAGTAGTGCATTAAGCAATATGATTACAGGGATCCTGACCTTCTCTGATTTAAAAAAAATCCAAGATTCTTTGATTTAAAATCCTAAAATCTAGATTTTTTCCATGATTAAAATGAAATACCACTATATGTGTGTGTGTGTGTGTGTGTGTGTGTGTGTGTGTGTGTATGTGTGTGTGTGTGTATATATAGTTTCATAGTTTCAGGGTCGGAAGGGACCTAATAGATCTTCTAGCCCGACCCCCCCGCCAGGGCAGGAGAACAACCCAAAAAAAAAAAAAAAACCACTCACCCTAAAAACAAAAACGGGACTCAAATGAGTCCAGCCAGGTAAGTATCCAGCCTCTTCTTAAAGATCCCCAGGGTAGGGGCCAGCACCACCTCCCTTGGAAGTTGGTTCCAGCTCCTAGCCGCCCTAACTGTGAAGTAGTTTTTTCGGATGTCCAATCTGTACCTCCTCTCCATCAACTTGTGCCCATTACTCCTTGTTATGCAGCGGGGGCTAGGGGAAACAGCGTCTCCCCCCAACCCTTCTGGTTCCCCCTAGTGAGTTTATAGACGGTCACCAGGTCCCCCCTCAGCCTTCTCTTGTGGAGGCTGAATAGGTTCAGGTCCCGCAGTCTCTCACTGTAGGGTCTGCCCTGTTGTCCCCGGATCATGCGGGTGGCCCTCCTCTGGACCCTCTCCATGTTGTCCACATCCCTCCTGAAATGGGGCGCACAGAACTGGACACAATACTCCAGCTGCGGCCTGACCAGCGTCGCATAGAGGGATGTATGTAGATATCCCTCTATCGCATAGAGGGATATATGTAGATATCAATTGAACACAATGTTTTATTGATATATTTACATTTTTAAAGCAGTTTGGAAGCCTACCAGTGCCGGAGTCATTATAATAAAACATTTCAGTGCTTGATTTTGGGGGTTTTTTATCGTAGAAAATCAGAGCTCCCCCTGCCCCCCTTGCTCACCGAGACATAGGTCCAGCAGCTGCCATCCCTCCCTTCTCCTCCCCCCCCCACTTTGTGACACTGAACAGCCCTGATATGTCAGTGCCCCTCACTCCTAATCCATAGCCCCCCACTCCACCCAGCCCTGCTGGTGCCGCTCACTTCAGACTCACGACCCTTACCTATCCCTGACTTGCTCCCTGCCAGCACCCCCCTGTGCCAGGACTTGCATCCAACTGTAGTTGTTCCCTCCCCTACCTCCCGCTGCTTTCTGGCATTGAGCAGCCCTGACATGCCGTTGCCCTGCCCATGCCGTTGCCCCTCACTCTTAAGCCACAGCCCTGCCAGTGCCCCTCACTCCCAGCCTGTATCCCCCGCTCACCCTAAAGCAAATTGCAGCAACCCCTACTAGAGCCATGAAACACAGGGGTGGGGACTGGGGGGCAACAAAAGACTTCTAGGTGCTAGCTGATACTGCCTGCGGGGCTTGCCCTGGTGCAGCCCCTCAGCAGTTGCTGTGAGATCCCAGGCAGAGACCATGCCCCTGTTGCAGAGAAAGGTAAAACCCCCGAGTCTGTACCACTCTGAACAGGGGAAAATTCATTCCTGACCTCGATGCAGCATCAGTCTGACCCTGAGCCAGAGCCTGTAGCCAGGACCCTCCAGGGCTGAGTCTCAGGAGGAGCATTGGCACATGGCTGACCAAACTTTTTGTTGAACATCTCCAATGCTGGAGAGTTCACAGTTTCCCTGGGTGTCTGTTCTATTGACCCCTGCTCTAACTGGGAGTGGAACTGTTTGAACTGGTTTGAACTGTTTTTTTTTTTTTCACTTGAATGTGAACTGTAACTGAACCATGATTTGACCTGTTCTGCCGAACCAGAACAGGAACCACACCTGAGGTCTTGGGATGACCCAAGCCTGGAGTGACCCAAATCACTAGGGTCACCAGATAGCCTTGTCACTGGTTAGTCTTGGGTTACTGGTTAAATGGGGGTCATCAGTTACCCCACCAGTCAGATTGAGGTGACTGCTTTAGTCTTTATTAAACTGCTTATAACAATTTTTTTTAAACTATTAAAAAAAACCAAAAAACTGGCTCACATGAAGACACCCAAAGATAACATGGCATACTCACTGCTGCCACAAAGATATGCATCACTGCACTATCACAGATCCGCAGGATTTTCTCTAAACTTGCTATTGTTATTACACTTTTTTTTCTCTTCAACTCCTTTAATCTATATGGTTGATTAACAGAGAATGGAGTTCAATGTAGGTAAAGAGCTGTAAATAAATACTCATTTAGTGGACTCTTATTCTTACAGTTGCTTATGTTTCAGGTTAGCTAGTTCCAAAAGCCCATTCCAAAGCTTGCTTAACACCTTATACTGTTGTAATATGTAGGATGTGGAGAGGGAGGGAGGCAAGCAGGCTTCTAGAGTTTTGAGTGATGGGAGGCTGAGGGCATACCCACAAAAGCTGTGAAGGAGTGGAAGGCTTGGGGCAGGCTCCCTGGCTGGCAGGGGGTAAACTGCGAAGAAGTCCTTAGGCAGCCCTTTGGAGGGCAGGCAGTGGGGGTTGGGCCAAAGCTGGGATCACTTTGGCTGAGTGTCTGGGTTTGGGGGATGGGGCAGGGGGCTGGTGCCACCTCCTGCTGGGGCTGGGGGGGGGGTGCAGAATTCACCATACCCCCCCCCCCAACCCTGTCAGTGTGATCTGTACCCTGCTGCTGGCAGCCCTACCAACATGATTTGTAGGGTGTGTGTAGGGCAGGGGGTGGGTGTCTGGGGCTTTCTGGAGGTTGGCCCTTGCCCCAATGGTGCAGGGCTGGTCCGAACTCACCAGAACTTGGCCCTTGAGGCCCAGACCAGCCCCATGTCATCAGGGCCGTACACCAAGTTTTGCCATGCCTGGACTGCCCCTGTGCCATTGTGGCCACCCCTGATGGTTCAGGGCCAGTTTGGGCTCGCCACAGCTCAGCCCCCAGCCCCGATGGTGTAGGGCCGGTCCCCACACTCTGGACTTCCTGTCCCCCACCCCCCTGTCCCATAGACCTACCTGTATGCAGCTAATCCCACCACCCTGCCTGACTGTATTGCTGGCCGTGAGTGGTGCCTCCTGCCCCGCAGCTCCAGATTTTGTGCCTTTTACCTCCCCGGACCTACCTCCAGTTGCCCTCCCCCAACGCCCCCCAGGCCCAAGCAGCTCACTGCAGGCTGGAACTCTGGAATACTGCATTCAGTTTTGGGCGCCGCACTTCAAGAGGGATGTGGATAACCTGGAGAGGGTCCAGAGAAGGGCCACTCGTATGGTTAAGGGCTTGCAGGCCAAGCCATATGAGGAGAGACTAGGGCACCTGGACCTCT